GCTTTTGAGGTTGAGTATTTGGAACGGAATCATAGGCAGATGTCAAGAGGAAAAGGATGTTTCTTCATCAGAAGATGATTGGTTGAGATCCTATGCCACTGCCTGCAGAAACTGCAGAATTTAAGGCTGACCTTGGAGAAAATCCACCTTTCTTGGACACTATATAGGCTGATATCAGGTATAGTAAAAAGACAAGAGTCTCATCTAAAAGTGTGAATTTTAGCATTCCTCCTAAATGTTTTGTAGGCTTTGGATTAGTCACAGCTTTCATGGTTTTAAATCTCTCATGTCCAGCAAGAAGCAGCTTAAAATCAGGATTTTGGCTTCTAATTATAGTGAGCTAGATTTGTTATTAGCATTTTTTGTTTGTTGTTTCACTGCTGATCACTTGCTGACCTACAACTGCTCATGAATTTTAATGGAATTTGCTGAATAATTTTGGCTAGAAAATAATATAAACTAGCCTTACTTCATATAATCTGTTTACATTTATTGGCCTAGGAGTTAAGTACTCATTCTGGAAGGAGGAAACTAGGATTCAGTTCCCTCTTCTGGCTGAAAAAGATTGAAACACACATTTCTTGAAAAGTGACCAAGAACACCATAGGAAAGGTTTCAATCCCTTCTACCGATCCTGTTCCACTTTGCATAAATTCCTGAACTGGAAAAACAGTAGCAGGTCAGACATCCAACCTCTCAGAATTATCAGCAGATGAAAATGTGTTCCAGAGTGGGTCTTCCTTTGTTTTTCTTGCATGACCATGAAAATTAAGTATTTCATCCAAATGAAATGTAGTATTCTACTCAACAACAAAAAAACCCTGCACTTTGGGAAGGGAAAAAAAATCAAACCAGTCCTGCTTCCTTCTCTGTTTTTCAGTTCAGGAGCCACAAATTGAATGTTCACATTGCTATACTTTCAATCCTAGTTCTTTTATAGACATTCTGTGCTGTCATTTAGAGCCTGATCCAAAGCTTTACTGAAGCCATTGGAAAGATGACCAAGTTTCCGTATGTTAAAGAAGAGGGGTAAAGTGGTGGGGATTTTCATTAAGTGATTCCAGACCGCTGGAGACAGTCTCAAGCCGTTAAGTTATTGCTACCCTACTGTCAGAAGTTACATTTAGAGATTACATCTTAAAACAGAGACAAAAAAGTCATTTTTAACAGAATACAGTTTGTTTTAGGAGTCTCAAGCACTCGTGTGACAGTCTTAACTTTTCCTGGCTCTTGATGAGGAGAACAAGCTTGAAAGATGGAGGATTTACTTTATTACCCTATTATATTTCTTGGTGGAGACACTAGGCTAATGTCATTTATATTGTATTACTTGTATTATGCAGTTTAATGGATAGCGGATGCTCAAGAGTATTTTATTTCTGTAGGTGCTAAATATGGCAAGCACAGTCCCTTCCCTCATGTCAGCAGTAGGGTGTGAAACCAATGTGCTGGAAATTTAGAAATGAATCTCCTCTATAAATATTGATTTGAAAAATCCATTTTTTAATAGGAATTCAGTCTTTTCTTGAAGTCCTTAACAGCTGACAACTCCTCTGTTCTGTTATTCTGTACCCTGTTCTCTACCTTCCCTGAATATATCGCCATTTGTAATCAATGCTTAACAGCAGTATTGCTTTTTCTCTTGGTAGAATGTGACTTCTTAAGAAATAAGTTTCTAAGTAAAAACTACTTTCAGTATATTTATTTGCAGAAAGCTAGTTTATGGAGTACACTAACTTTTTATAAGTATTGCTATTGTGGTTTTTTGGCCACAACTCAGCAGGCAATGCCTATCTAGAGAAGCAATTAAGGATGAGGGACTTAACTCTTTGGACAACTAAGAATGGGTACAGCACCTGCTCAAATGTCTCCTTAAACATTTTCTTGAAGAATGATATCACACTTTCAACTAGTAAAATTTTCCTCTCACTTTTCAAAGGGCAGTTGCCAGCACTGGAAGACATCTCTCAGCACAGACTGATTGCAGCACTGAAGGCAAATATTAGGATGGGTGAACAAGGATTAGGTCTCATAACCACACAGAATGGGCCATATCTCCAGATAACAAGCTTTTTTGAGAAAAGCTCTGCAGCTAATGACGGAAAGCTAAAACCAGGTAAAAAGAACCAACAGTGATATTCAAATTTAATAGCACTGAAAATATTCTTGTTCTGCATTTATGCTTTGAGCCTGTCTCTGATTTATTTACACTTACACAGATCAAAAGAAACTCAATTTAAAATTACAGAGAAAAGAAACTAGCACAAACTGTATAAAGCTCAGCGCCAGCATTCCATTGTAATGAAATACCTGTGATCTTAAAATAGCTGATATGGGTGACTGTTGCATAATCAGATCAAGATTTAAGTCTATATATTGTTCTCCAGCAAAACCAGATTTCCTATTCATCAGCAGGTTTGTCCAAAAATAGTTTAACTATTGCCTTTATATAGCAACTAAACTTGAATAATATAATGCTTTGTTCAGTGCATTATTGTTCAAGTAATTTCACTCTACAAGTAACACAAAACTTCCCGAAGCCTTGAAATTAATTTGCGTTATTGTTTGCTTTTTATTTCTCTTTATTATACAGAATAGTTACAAAGTGGCAATGGACTAATCTTTGTGCTCTAACAATCCATGCAGGTGTTCATTTGCTAAACGCTTTAAACCTGAAATGTGCCATATCAGTACTAACAGACTATTACTAGTTATTAAGGTTTCTTGCGGAACATCGGACTCCTATATTAAGCTTGTAATTGAAAGCTCTGTAAATTTGACTGCTTCATATGGGTCCCTAGACCAATTACATTAGACTCAAGAACTACAGTTTGGGAACGATAGTGTGCTATGTTATTACCATTTATTAAATTGTCTCTAACATAGAAATCTATGAAGCTAAGACTTGAGTGTAATGAAGTAATTTAGAAATTTACTGGCTGTGTAGTGAAAATGCGTATCTTTAGATTAGAACAATTTTCCCAGCATTGCCTTTATAGTTTGGGCAGTCCTTTCTTCTTGCACCTTTCAGACAGAATTAGAATTCCAAGAACTGGGAAGAAAGATCTACTTGTTTGATGCAATAAAAGCCATTGAGTGGATTTCTTAACCTCTTTTTAGACAAGGCTTTGCACTTTTGATCCAAGTATAAAAATCAGTGGAAAAATCCTGAGCATAAAATAGAAATGGATTTGGATTTGAACAAGTACTTTTTTTTATTTATTATTATCTTAGGAGCTGATAGCTTTAATCTATTCCCTAAAAAAACCCCTATGGTATACAAAAGCATATATATGCTACTGATTTGGTTATTTTGGTTTGGTTTTTTTTTTTACATCCATAAGGTAAAAAATACAGAATATTAATCACTGAAACTAAGTAGTTCTATTTGCAACAATTTGAAAAAGGCAAGCTCCAACAGTATTTTCAATAGAGGCTACAAGAACAAGGAGTCAAATTATTTGTGGCATGCGATGTGTTTGATTTACTGCAGCAAGTATTGAACAGTTTAAAGGGGGTTGAAGACTGGTAACAAACATTGTCCCTTTGTAGCTGATTTTAGGTTTTGGAGCCAAAAGAACCAATTTGAGCATGCTCCATGGAGCACCTGACTCTAACTCGGCACTTTACACACACACAAAAAAAGCAAACAGCTGAATTTGTTCAATTCATGTTTAGAGTGAACTTACAAAAACTTTGTATTTAAGACCGAAGCTGTAAAATTTTGCAGAAAAGATACTATTTTGTAGAAGCTCTGTCTCTTAATGATACCAGAGGCGGCACACTTATTTTGGCACTAATACCAATGTACAGAGAAAAATGAGAAAATATGATGCGCTGCTTAGGAGTTTTTCTTGCAGTGAATTAGGTTTTATCTTTATAGACTTATTTTTTCAGTTAAGTAAGCTGAGTATTATCTGTACAATTTCAAACTGGAGCCTAAAAGAACAATTTTATTACTGCTTATAGCTTGAAAGAGCTGGTGCCATTCTGCTGACTTTAATGGGGAGGAGATAGCAATTAACAGAGGTAGTGGGAGGCACTAATGTCTTAAAATCCTACAATTAGACTCACCAAACTTGTATGGACGTATGCATGCCCTATTCTCCATGCCAGCAAGAAGAAACAGGGCTGCTTAGTACGTGTGTTTCCTCAGAATACCTTCATAGGGCAAGAGGTTATCTCCACATAAATCTTCAGTGGCCACTGAATGATATCAATCACAAAACTGATAGGTGAACTGAAAAGCTGGGTGGCTCAGACTCTAAATGCTGGAGTAGAGGAGGAAAATTATCTAAGTCTGCAGTTCAGAGATGGCTTTGACTCACCACAACAGTGTTATCAGCACAGTATGGGCAGAAAAAATAGAATTATGACAGAATCTGTTAAAAGCTGAGAGTGTCTTGCAGATATTTTAAAGCATCAGTACATTTATGTCTGTGCATTTTGAAACACATAATCTGTTTGAGGCTGAGAATTTACATAAAACTGCTGGTAAAATATTTCCTGTTGCTTTTTCCGTATCTGCTATCCTGGTACTTGTTCCAGAACTTCTTGTTTGCACCCCAGTAGAACCAGTATCTTGTGATAAAGTAGAGTGGAGAGAGGGTGCGATGATGATGGAGTAGAAGGAGTAGTTAATGGAAAACGTGAATGAAAAAATGGTAGTCAGTAGTTCAGGTAAACAGTTTTAAAGCCTGTACATTTTTGCTACAGGCATTTTTAACCCAAAAGGGTTAAGAAGAAAAGAGAGCAGATGGAGAGAGGCTCCTTGCTCTGCCTAATATGGCAGCAGACAGCTGTACTGCTTGTTTAAATCCCCTATGCTGTTCTGTTGCAGTTCAGTACATAATGTTTACTGATACAGCTCCTCTGTGCAACTATTTCTGCCAGGCTGCTGATAGAGCTGTAGCCTGCTGCAGGTTGATTCTGCTTGCCTTTTGCAGTCTCCAAAATTACAGGTTTACACAGTAATTGCAATTCCCCCAATTTCTCGAAGCCCATCTTGTTATACCCCATGGTATATAGAGGTGCTGGGGCTTCTGTACTGTGTTGTTCTTGGATGCAGTACTGCTTTTTGCAAACTGCAGCTCAGTGCTTTCCACTGGCAGCAGGTAATAAGAACATTATTTGCAGCCTTATAGCTTAAAACAAACAAACAAACAAACAAACAAACAAAAACCATCACTGCTTTCTGCTGGAACTCCTCGGTTAGATTCTGCACCAGCTCTTGTAGGCACCTCCTATTTCTCCTCCCTCGCTTGACGTTGTCTTGCAGTGTGCCCACATGTTGGTTGTTCTCAGAGCAGAGGGACAGGCACCAGCCACCAAGAGGCAAACCCTGGAAACCTCCAGGGGCCCAGACAAGCATAAGGAGACATGGCTGTTTGTTACACAGATTCTCCAGCATCCACCTGGGTAAACTTCGCCACTGCGGAGGAAGGGGTATGCTTGGCTCCATACCAAGAGATAAACAGCAAGCTGACATACGAGGGTAGGCAGCAGGTATGTATAGATAGGGTGTTTCAGCTGTGAAAAGGTACAGTGAAGCAGTGGCAAGATGCCAGCAGAAGTGTTGGGAGTGCAGCTATGTAACCTCAGCTCAACCTTGCTGGAGTCTGTCTGGTCCCAGGTAGTGGTCCTGATTAAAGCATGCACCATTGTACCTTTATCTTGCCTAAAAAAAACCCACAGACATGGAAGGTAGCACTGCATAGGCAATCTAAAGTTTAGCATGTTTGCTCAGAAAAATCCCAAAGTGAACTGCAGCTTTCCTTAGTGTTGTGAAAAGGTTAGTTCTTAACAGAGATAAAAACCGTTTCATTAAAAAAGAAAGCAAAAAAACCATTGCATCGTTGGTTGGAAGAGAGGAGGCTGAGGGGAGACCTTATTGCTCTCTACAACTACCTGAAAGGAGGTTGTAGCGAGGTGGGGGTCGGTCTCTTCTCCCAAGTAACAAGTGATAGGATGAGAGGAAATGGCCTCAAGCTGCGCCAGGGGAAGTTTAGGTTGGATATTAGGAAAAATTTCTTCATGGAGAGAGTGGTTAGACATTGGAACAGACTGCCCAGGGCAGTGGTACAATCACAGTCCCTGGAAGCGTTCAAAAAACGTGTGGATGTGGTGCTTAGGGACATGGTTTAGAGGTGGACCAGGCAGTTAGGTTAATGGTTGGACTCGATGGTCTCAGGGGTCCTTTCCAGCCTTAACGGTTCTATGATTCTAAGAACTGCTAAACATGCTTTTACATAAAAATGTGAAAGTAAAGTGGTTAAGGCTACAGATTTTGTAATACAAACAAGAAAAAAATTGAAAAAGTCTCTTAAACGGATTGCTGTCAATTTTCTTCCTTGGCAGGTCGTGTTCTGATAAAAATTGGACATGCTAATGTTTTAGGATGGACTCCACGAGAGCTTAGGCAGCTTCTGCACAATATTCTTGTAGGAGCTACCCTACAAAGCAGAGTTTACAGAGATTTTGTTGAAGTACCTCAATGCTGGCAAAGTGCAGTTGAATTAATCCCTAAAGCAAAGCTTCCTGTGATGACAGCAGAGTAAGAAATAAGTATTGTACGTAACTAGAATTTCACACCTTGCTTATTATTCTAGCAAGAAGCAAGAAATAGCGTAATAGCTTTTTCATTTTAGGATAAAATGTTAGTCTAAGGATTTACTTTCATTTATTTTTCCAAAATAGAAAACTGTGATTTGAAATGAACAAATACCAAAAGAAAAGTTTACTTTTCTAGTTACAGTGAAGACAGGGTCAGGACAAACATTAATTTTAGACATGCCCCTTCCTGCCTCCACAGAGACCATAAAAAATCTGGCTGGCAATAATGCCCCTGAAGTCAAAGAGGCCACGTGGACTGTAATAGCCAAGGACCTAGACAATTACAAGTAGCTGATGATACCAAGATGGAGGCCTTGCTACTACCATGTAAAAAGCTTATCTGTTTCTTAATCAGTCTAACTACTGACAGTGGTTAACGATTATGACTTTTTAAATTAAACTTCAGGAAAAATAAACTCTTCCTGTGAGAGCCACTGCATAGAGAAGCTTTTAAAAAAAATATTGCTCTCAATCCTGAAGGTGGCTCATATAGCAAGTATAATTAATCTAGACAGGATACGAGGCAGTTACAAGTTTTCCTGAGGCACAAAGTTTTAATAGAAAAGAAACCTCAGAGGTAGGGGAAGGAACAGAAGTATTAAAAGGAGATAATTAGGCTAGAACAGCAGAAAGGAAGCTCATGCAGCAAGGGGCTTTCCAAGAGATTAAACCTCTAAGCTTATGTTTAAATAAATCAAATTATTTGCTATTCTGAAGGAGCAGAAAAAGGACAGCTGGCTTTTCTATTGACCAAATTACAACTTTGCTATTACTCTAGAGCCCAAAGGTAAGAGTGTGCAAAGGACTATTGGCAATAGTATTAGTTTGATATTAGAGGAGCTTCAGAACTAATGAACTTGTCTTTAGAACACGTATTTGCAAAAAACTTCAGGCTCCATGATTGGTTAAGTGAACAGCTATGGGAATTATTGCACGTTAAAGTAATACCATGCTGTGTATTTTCAGCACAAGTGAAGATGCTGAGGATGAAGATGACACCGGGTCCAGTAGCGATGATGATGTAGACTTGGAAACTTTTCAGTATAAATCTTCCCAGTCACACTGTTGTGAGTTCACTCAGAAGTTACTATCAATATCCAAAATTTGGCAGACACTTGGAGTAGGAACAGACAGCGGTTGTGCTGCTGTACTTCATAATGATGTTGATGCATTGTGCAATTCTATGTTTGATGGTAGTGGTGTTAGACCTCCTTCATACTGGGCAATAGAAACAATGAGACCAGTTCCTCTTCCTCCTGCCCTTCTGCATCAGATACATCCCATCTGGAAGAATTTGCCTTTGTTTCAGAATAGCTCAAAACTTGGCTTCTTCAAAACCTGGATTTCTGAAGTTGTATCTTACCTGTTTTAATACATGCCTAGACTCCCCCCAAAAATCTAAATGTCCTAAGATACTTGAAATGATATATTAGCTATATAAAGCTGTTTTAGCAATGCTCTTCCTCCCCTCAGAGACGTCTATTAATGCTACTTGTGGAGAAGACATTCAGAAACACACCTCTGCTAGTCCCAGACAAGTAGCAGTTGCAAGCTCTAAGGTTCAATATATTCATCTCTGTTTGAAGGGAAGTTTCTTCATTTACTTGATATAAGGATGGTGCAGACAGTTTAATCAAGAACTTTTCCCGAATACATGGACAACTAGTGGCAATTACAGTATTTGTCTGCATCACAATGATCATTTCTGATATATCTATTTTTTACATTGACTAAAATTCACCTTATTTTCTCACTGTAGTTTTACATTCAGTGTACAGAGCCGGACTTATCAGATACCATTTTCAGTGGAAAAAACCCCAGCACAACATGTATGAACTCAGCACTTTATTTGATGAGTGCAAGCCCACAATTACTCCAGATTAATTTTCTGAAAGAACTGAATTCATAAATAACACGGTAGTAGTAATTTATTTAGAACATAGGTGACTTAGAGCTCAGGTCCATCTTGAATCCGCACCCCAGTTTTGTTTTTACAACTCATCAAGAAAAGGAGTATTTCCCAAATCCCCACTAGCTGCCATTGATTTCTTCCCATTGACAAACTTCTTTGCAGCCTGAAAATAAATCAGAAAGATGGATATAAGGAAATAGTCACTATAATAGAATTTATCTTGCTGCTTATAGCCTCAGCTTCAAGTTATTAAAACAAACAACAAATCCCAACACGACTACAGTACATCAAGTAAACAATTTTCCTTTTGCTGTCTAAACTTACTTGCTTCTAATCCAGCTCCTCGTTACTTTATAACCTGAACAGGAATGGCAGAATGACAGTTGGATATAAAAGGCATAAACTCTTTGAAAATGGTTATTATTAGAATAATTATTACACCACAAGATACAGTGGCTCTCTCCTTACTACTAAAGCTATTGCTAGTTGCTACTGCAACACAAATCAGTGGTGACTGTGAAAAAACAAGTTTTCTCTTAGAGTTTCTCTTTCTGATGGATTTCTGTATGAAGTTTGCTTCAAGTATAAGCGACAAGACAATTTGGAATAGCAATGCAGTTATGCGCATTTATCATGGAAAGCCTAATTGTTTTATTAAGCACACCAAATATTCTAGACTCAGGAATCCTAAAAGCCTTGACACAGAAGTGCCTACACTGGAAGAAATATCAAGTTTTCCACGAATACTAGTTGGCAGTTTTGGTAAATTTAAGTGAAGTAGATGAGAATTTCACATACTCCCAGCTACGCTAGTTTTACAGTGTATTGGATTAAAGGATCTTCTGTTAATAAACATAGCCAGCTGGGATTTGTAAACGAGTTGCCTTTTTTTAAAGACAGTATATGTGTTTGTTTATAAACACACACAAATGAGCACCAGTTTTGTATAAGAAAACGTTACAGAGTGATTAAGGAACACCTGTAGATGCCGACACATACTTACATTCACAACATCAGCAGTGGCTACAGAGTCAATTTTTTGAGCAACAACAGATGGTGATGTGTGTGTGCCAGAAACCAATGACTCGGAGCCAATTTCATTCAGTAACCCTTCTGCAGTCTCCACTGACATCAAATAGGTGGCTTTCAGCTGGTTTCTGCCATCAAACAAAGCATTAAGGATGAGTAAGCATCTAAGTCCTGTTATTATGTTCCCCACCGCCCCCATAACTGCAATGAGTTTTTGGTGCTTTTTAAGTTTTCAAGATTCCTCTCCATTTTGAACTGTTTTCTTTTTCAAGTATGGAAGGGTTCTGTATTTACGAAAGAGGCACCACAAATAGTCCAAGCATGAAAAGGACAAGGTACTTGAACACCTACGGCCTTGGAATGATCAGCTACCCCCCAGAGTCCGAAGATGTCTAGCTCAGAATTTGTTTCTGTTTGAAGTAACTAATGCAGGTACTTCAGGAATTAGACAAACTAATATATCAAGTTAACAAATTACGTTTAAAATTGATTCCAGTTTCTCATCAAGAACAGATACACGCAGAGCAATTTTATTGTAAGCAACAAAGCAGCAATGAACGTAAATGGTTAGGTTCTTTGTGTAATAGTTCCATGTTCTGTTAAAAGACAGAACGTTTATACTGTTTTCTGTTTCACTTAGTCTCACTGCTACATATGAAAATCTTATTCTTATCAGCTAGTCCTTCTATTCTTTTTTAAAAGTCAAAATGGCAGGAAATGGTTTATTCCAATAGAATACGATTAAGTAGCTTGGTATTTTTGACTGAATTGAAAGACTCTGCAAATATCACTGACCTTGAATTTAAGTTTTTGTTTGGTTTTTTTGGGCACTGAAGGAAAAAGAGCAATACAGAAAATACATGAAGCCATTCCAGAAGGGAAATGCCAAAAAAAAAAAAAACCCAAAAAAACCAAGCCATAGCACTGTAACTCCCTAAAACTAGGAAGCTACTTTAAAAAAACCAAAACAAACCCACACCCCGCCCCCACAAACTAATAATGCCAAATATAAAGGTCCGGAATTCACCATTCAGCTACTAATGACTAAGGCACAAGCAATCGTGTCTAGGTTATTATGCTTAGTGTAATCAAGCTTTCCGTGGAGTCCTGCAAGTATTTTATATACACAACAGACAATATTTTGATTTTTCTACTTGAGTGAATCTGTACTATATTGTTGTATTGCACAACTACAGTTTTAGAGGCTCAGTGCAGTTTAACACTACTTGGAGATGAAGCACCAACTAATGTGCACAACCTTCTATAAATTAGAAACTCTAAAACTTTGTTGGTGTTACTACATCGCTAATAGTAATTTTCCCCCATCTCAAATATTCCTAGGGTCACGTATTTCGAGCGCTTGGATGTAACGTGGCTAATTCAGTGCTTCACACTTGCAGACCCTCATTACTACTATTCTTTGAAGATACAGAAGATTGCTTAATATAATTGTTTTGGGAATTGCTACAGTGCAACTGTAAAGGGAATTACCTAAATAATGCAATTTAGGATTCTCATTTAAATACATTTTAATACTACAGGGTATGATTAGAACGACAGCATCTGCTGATACTCGCTAATTTCTTACATTGAAGCAGTTTTCAGAAATTAACACTTATCTGACAGGTTTTTATTAGGAAATACCACTAGCAGAGAATCAGGGTAGCTTTGAAAAAAAGAGCATTGACAGTGCTTCAATTTTAATGCAGGAAAGTGAGCAGTTCCCCGTGGAAATAATTACAGGGCAATGATAAGCTTTGCTATACAGAATAGTCTGAGTGTTTGACAAGAAGCTACATGTTAAAACACTTCTCTTTACAACACACAAGACAGTTCTTTACTCACTTACTTTGCCTTTGTGACATCGTCATCAGTGATGCTGCCCTGAGCAACTGCCTTTATCTGGTTCAAAGCAGCTTTAATGACCTGAGGAAAATGCAATCATTTAAGACTTCTTCCTGCATTAAATTTCAATATGTTATTTCTATTATCTGACACCTTAGAAACTTCAGGGGAGAGCAGTTGAGAGTGTTAGGATTGTTTGCCTGAACTCAATTCTGAACAGCTTTATAACAAAACTAAAAACACTGTAATGCCCAAGTGAGACACAAAAACCAGTGTGGATTTAAGTTGCAACACCACATTAATTTGCATGGTCTCACCATTTTTCATGAGAGTATTCAGTTCTGCCAGCTTCGAGAGCCAGCATGTTCCTCATGATACGCTTAGGCTTACACATGTAAATCAGCAATTACAGTCGGCAATTCAAGGTATTTTACTAGCTCTAGTTCGTATTAGGTATTTGTACTTCCCAGAAAGCAAGTCTCATTCCCAGCTTACAGAGTTAAGTCACAACTGAACATGCAGCATTCTTATACAAGAAACCAGATGAATTAACTTTTTTTTTTTTAGATTGATCAGTCACTATCTCAAATCAAAACACTAGTTTGAGAGTTATGTTGTTAATACTTAAATTCTGATCTGCAACTCACCTCCCCAGCATTTGGAGCCTGGGATATGGTATAAATCCCAAAGAGCCCAGAATCAGAGTAGTTAACATTAAACGCGGAAGCCTACAAAACAAACATCATCAACCGTTTCAAGTATCAGAACAACTCAGCATCAAGCATAGGAAAATAATTACTATTAGGATCTAAAATACTGTAATTGAGGAAGCTAAGCTCCATCTGTGCAGAGGAAAGGTCAGATTGGAAGGCCTTCTCTGATATGTTGTAACCTGTGCAAGAATGAACTAATTAAGATTCTAGCTGGAGGTAGTAGCCTCTCACAGGATAGTATGCATGTTACTTAAAATACTAGAGTACAGTAGTAACCCTTTGAACTTACATCAAATGGCTGGGTAGTCGCTTTAGCAATACCCTGGGACAATTTGCTGGTAACGTTGCTTCCCCTCTTGATAAGGGGTCCAGCACCTAAAACATGCTGAAGAACACTGAACGCATTTGCTTCTGCACTTCCAACAGCAGCTCCTTCTGTTACAATAGCAGCATGGACAAGGCTATCACCATTCTGTTCTCTGATTTCTCCTAAAAATACAACAGAATAAAAGGTAATGCAGTGTTCAGTTAGAAACTACTGTACGTTCAGAGGTATGGAAAGGAAACATCTCTAGCCAGGAGCTGGCTTCATGAGAGAGAAGCCAGGGTGTGAAGTTATTCCATGTCCACTCAGGAAGACAGCAAGAAGCTGTTAGTAGGCTGTAGGTCATTTTAAAAAAGTCCTTCCCGTTCAGAAATTTTTTTGCAAGCACAAAACCAAGTACCTTACTATGCCTTATTTGAACCTGACCCTAAACCATACATAGTATGAGATGGTAAAACTCAGTGAGTCTCCAGATAACAAACATCCAGAAAAGTAGCGTGCCGTCTGTTCACAGTAATATTTATCCTGTTTTGTAGAGACAGAAGTTATATGAAAGACTTAGGACATCCTAACAGATCTTCCCTAAAAGAAAACCCACCACCACTTCTAGACAGTCTTTAATCTGTTCTTAAGGGAATCTTCCCAAAAATGCCAAGAGAAACCATGTGCCAGCTTGTTTTTCACTTTATGGAATAAATGATCTTGCAGGTAAAGCTTTGCTGGAGATATGGGTTCAGTTTTATCCCAGAACTTTCCATGGTGGGGAATAATCCTCTGTTTATTTAGATGGGAGATGCCTCTGAACTGCCACTTTCCATGTGCAGCATTTAGTACAGCTATATAGTTTTCAGTTGCAACTTTGAATAATACCACATTTATAATAAACAGAAAAACAGTCATTCAGAACAGATACAAGAAACATACTTACCCCCTCGATAGACAGCCTTTGCACTAGAAATACCAGCTCCACTTCGGATATTTAGAAAGTGCTCTGCAACTTGCTTTAAGTCAGAGTGCTTCACACCTGCAATACAATAGTTCATTCCAAGTAACGTAATGC